CTCAATTATATTTTATAATATATATATATATAATTTAATATATAATATATTTATGGTGATCATTCACGGAAGACTCTCTTATTATAATAATATTATATGTGTATATATATATTATAAAGTTAAATTATAATATATATAATATTTATAATAATTTTATATAAACAATGTCTAATTTAATACTATTACATTATTAATCTCTTTATTCAATTTTATCATATTCATAATTCATTTAACCTAATCCATCAAATAAATATAGATGCCCTGTTTGTTTTCAGAAATAGAATAGAGGGGATTCATAGTAAGTGGATTAAATAAAATTGTATTTGTTTTGATGATAGTTGTTAGTGTAGGAATTGTTAAATTATTTTTATATAAAATAATAAAACAAATACAAAAAATTAAACATTAATGTTCAAAAAAAATTCCCAATATGTAAAACATTAAAAAATTAAAAAAATTTATAATCCCCTCACTATTTTTCTAATACTACCTCCACCTCTTTCATTTCAATCCCCCCTCCAACCTCCATCTTAATCCCCTCTTTCATCCTAATTCTTTTTCCAATTCTACAAACAAATACAACACTAAATAGTCTCATTTCTATTCTAATCCCATTCCATTCTTTACGCTCCAAAACAAACGGGGCCAGAGAGCAATGGGTCTATGTCTAATACCTTACTGTTTAGGTAATTTATTGCCGTGTTGCAAACGTTGTTCGAGGTCTTTCAGATGGCTCTGTTTCATCAAGAAAAATGTTTGGAAGCTTTAAAGGAATCTTAGGGTGGGCTCCACCCATTGATATGATATTTTGAATTTGGTTTTTTTTTTTTTTTTTAAAAAAAAATTTTCACGTCATTAAAACTCAATTAGAACTTCAAAATTAAAAAGATGTATCGTTACTAGTTTCATTAAACTTTTTAATGGTTCAAATTTCACAAGGATAGTACGGCATAAAAAGAAGGATAAATTACGAATATACCCCATGAGATTTAATTAAAATACAAATCACTCTTATGGTTTTGAAAATTATATTTCACCTTTTGAGGTTTTTAATTTTATAACAAATCCCTAATTTTATTAATAAATCATGAAATCAATCAACAGTTTTTAATAATATTAGAAATATGTTTCAATTAATAATTTAGTTAATTTTATTAGTATATAGGAGAGCAATTATGAATTTTATTTTTTTAGTTAGTTTTGTTAAATAAAAAAATTCTGACAAGAGAGTATTTGTAATTTTTCAAATTATAGGGAGCAATCTGTATTTTAAAAAAAATTTAAGAAATGTATTTATAATTTACCCTAAAAAGAATTACCCAAACTATTCTAAATTATATTTTATAATATATATATATATGGTGATCTTTCACTGAAGACTTTCTCTTTTGTTAAATTATAATATATTATTTATAATTATTTTATATAAATACTTAAAATATATAAAAACGCATAAAATCATAACATAATACATATTATTATATTATTAATTTAAAGGTGTACAAACAAACACTCTTTATTTTACATCTTTATTTTACATCTTTATTTTAATACCACTATATTATTAAGGACAAATTACCAATACCCTTCAAGGTTTGACTAAAATACTGATTCTTCTTGAGGTTTGAAGAATTACAAATTGTCTCTTGAGGTTTATATTTACATAACAAATTGTCTCATGAGGTTTATATTTGTATAACAAATTGTCCCCACAAACCTCATGAGACAATTCGTTATGTAAACATAAACCTCACAAGGCGAGATGTAATTTCTTAAACCTCAAAAAAACAAAATATATTTTAATCAAACCTCAAAAAAGTATTAATAATTTACCCTATTATTAATCTTCTTATTCAATTTTACCATAGTCATAATCGATTTAACCTATCTGTTAGACAAAATTTGAGTGCAATGGGTCTACTAGTACGTTATTGTCTGGGCAATTAACAATTCCACAATTCAATTTGCTTTTAATATTACCATTTGTAAATGTTCTGTAATAATAAATGTGTATATAATACTTGATCTTAAAATGTAATTTATCCAATTTAATGTAATTTATCCAGATTAATCTTAATATTATGTTTCTTAAATGGATTTAATTTAATAATTTTATTTTGATTTATATTTTAATCTCATTATTAATTATATCGTGCCTTCCGGTACGAACAAACACTGGCACCGTTTGGAAAGGGATTTTGTGGACTTTTTTTGCTATTTTAGCCACAAAAGACAAAATAGACTATTTTAACCACAACAAACAAAACATCACATCCAACCCATAATCATTACACTCTTCTCTCACAAAAAAAGTCAAAAAAATCAAAAAGTTAAAAAGCCCTTCCCAAACCAAGCTTTTTAGCTCATATATATATATATATATATATATTATAAAGTTAAATTATTATATATTATTTATAATAATTTTATATAAATATTTAAAATATATAAAAATATATAAAAACGTAAAATAATACATATTATTGTATTATTAATTCAGAAGTGTACAAATAAATATTTTTTATCTTATATATCTAATTTAATACCATTATATTATTAATCTATTTATTCAATTTTATTATATTCATAATCCATCTAATCTAATCTGTCAAACAATAGGTCTAAGTCTAGTACCTTATTGTTTAGGCAATTTAGTGTCGTGTTGCAAACGTTGTTTGAGGTCTTTCAAATAACTTTTTAGAATAAATTATAAATATATCTCTTGAGATTTGATTAAAATATAAATTTTCCTTTATTATTAAAAAAATTACATTTTATCCCTCAAGATTTCTAATTTCATAACAAATCACCCATTTTATTCATAAATTATCAAATTAATTAACAATTTTTAATGATGTTAGAAATATGTTACAATTAACAATTTAGGTAATTTTATTATGTTGCACCAGGCAACCGTAAGTTCTTCATCGCCGCCACCGACTATTTCACCAAGTGGGTTGAGGCTGACTCACTAGCGACCATAAGGGAAAAGGACGTGAAGAAGTTTGTGTGGAAAAACGTGATCACCCGTTTCGGTATATCCAAGGCCCTCATCTCGGATAATGGCGCTCAATTTGATGGTAAACTCTTTCGCGGATTTTGCGAAGAGTTGAAGATCGAGTTCTACAATTCGACGCCGGCCTATACTCAGTCAAATGGTCAAGCAGAGGCCTCAAACAAGACCATCCTGGACGGGCTGAAGAAGCGGCTTGAGAAGGCTAAGGGCAAGCGAGCTGAAGAACTCCCTAATGTGCTCTGGGCATACCGCACTACGCCAAGGCGGTCAACCGAAGAAACACCATTTGCTTTGGCCTACGGCATGGAGGCCGTCATCCCATTGGAAATTGGCATGCCAACCATCCGCTCTGAAAGTTTCCAGCCAGATCTGAATAGTGAAACGGTGGCATTGGAGTTGGACCTTGCTGAAGAAAGGAGGGAGCGAGCATTGATCCACATAGCGGCTTATCAACAAGAACTCTCCAAAAAGTACAACAAGGCTGTGCACCCCAGGATGTTCAAGATTGGGGACTGGGTATTAAGAAAGGTGCTTGGCAACACAGTGGTCCCTGGCGAAGGAAAGCTCGGTGCAAATTGGGAAGGACCATACAAGGTGATTGGTCTTGCTAGTAAAGGGGCATACCATCTGGAAGATATAGATGGCAAGGCTGTCCCCCGACCATGGAATACGGCCAACCTTGAGGTCTTTTACTTTTAAGATGTAATTTGCTTGTGTTGTTTAGCTTTTTTAGACCTTTAGCCTTTTGGCACTTAATGTAAAGGATAGCAATGCTTTTGTAATGAAAAATAGCCCTCTTGTTGTTTGGAATTACGTCTTTGTACAATGGATTCGCAAGGACGCAAGGCAATTATGAATACCAGGGGCAAGAGACCAACCTGAATGGGACCGGACTGATTTCCTCTCGCCGGAATGAATGCAGACCGCACAAACAGTTGGTGCATTGTCCGACGATGTAGTTGGCGTATGGCCCCATTCGCATTAGGGCCGAGCTGGTTTTGCTCGCCCAGTTGAAATGTTGGCATCATGACCAACTCAACTGAAACATTGGTGTTTTGCCCAGTGTGAGGGCCGAGCTGATTTTGCTCGGCCCAGTGGACGTATTGGTGTCTTGCCCAATATGGAAAACGAGCGGAGTTTGCTCGGCAGAATTCAGAATGTTGGAGTTTTGTCCAACCAATAAGAAGCCGACCTGAATTTGCTCGGCCTAAAAGAAATGTTGGCGGCTTACCCAACTTAAAAGGCGAGCTGAATTTGCTCGATCACATCGAAATTACATGAAAATTACAAACGAATTAAGGCCGAGCAGATTTTGCTCGGAAGAGTTAAAATGTCAGTTCATTTGAAAGTTCATGGAACCGAACTACTAGTTCTGGTTAGAAAACGTTTGAGGGGATTTTAGCTCGGCAAACTGTACGGCACAGCCGACTTGGCAGTTGTGAATTGACAACAATTGAATCGAGGAATCCATGCAGATGCAAACCGAACAGAAATAGAAGATGAGCGAGCAAAAAGTCGGAAATTTTCATTGATAAAGGAAATTTAAGTACAGGACGGGGGGCAGAGCCTGGTTACACAAAAAAAAAAAAAAAAAAGACATGGTCAATCCAACTCTACGTCAACCGTTTGTTCGGCAACCTGCACAGTTTGCTTGGCCTCCACATTGTGCTCGGGCAGGTTTTCTTCGGCGTCATCGTCAGTGCCTTCCACCACGGCAACATCCCGATCAGCCTCTTCCTCCGCATCTGGAGATGCTTCGGGAGGATTTTGCTCGGCTTGTTTCGCGGCGGCAGCTTCTTCCTCGGCCTCTTTCCTTGCCTCCGCGATGAACCAGTTTTGGGTGGCCTTGGAGTGTGCCTGCATGTAGACTGGGATATAGGCAGCAGGCGGATTAATGAACATGTCAGAATCCTGACCAAGACCAACTTTCTCCACGGCAGCTTTCCAGCCGTACTGGAAAAAGATGTCCTTGGTCGCTTGGACCTGCCGTTCGTAGGTCTTCTCGCCCTGCACGTATCCCCGGTCTTCTGCATCATCTACGGCCTTGTCCTTCTCGGCTTTGTGCGCATCGTGCAGTTTCCTTAACTCGGCGAGATATCGATCCTTCGTCGACTTCACGGCCCAAAGTTTGTCCTCGTTAGCTCGGTCAACCTTTTGGCTCAGGATATCTCGCTCGGCCTTGACTGCCTCCTGCACAGCTTTAAGCTTCGCTATCTTGGCCTTTTGTTCCTTATTCTCAGCTATGGCATCCCGCAGGCTCTGCCACACTTTGATCATTCGGTCGTGGGCCAAATAGTTCTTTTGTGCGTCCTGAAAACAAGCGAGAGATCGTCAATATTCGAAAAATCGAGCAATCACCGAGCAAACAGTCGAAGCAAAGAGTGGAGAACTTACCAGCACTATGGATTTTTCCGCCGAACGGAGGACCTTGAGGTCGGAAAGCTCGTCATGTTTTTTCATATCAGCGGGCAAGATCAACCCCTTGGTCAAATTGAAACCAAGCGAGTAGTCCTTATCCGCGTAGACCGAGTCTTCAGCAGAAACTACTCGGCCATGATATTTGAACTCGGGTGCCCAGACCGGGGGGGTGGTCGGACCCTTGGATCTGCCAGTTTGCGGTTGCTCGGTCTGGTCCCCGAGCTCGGTGGAGACGCGATCGGTAGAATCTTCATCTGCCAGACGTGGCCCGGTTTGCTCCTTCCTCTGCCGCTTCTTGGACCGACCAGCCGGTTGCTCGCTGGCAAGTGCCAGAACTGCCCCTTCTTGTTGCCCGGCGGGTGTGGAGGACGTCCCCCCGGTTGCCTCCGGTATTTGGGACTCGCCCTCTTCACCAGTAATCATGGACTTGATTGCCCTAATCTTCGCCATTTCTTGCTCGGCGGTGAGGGGAACAAGCCTGATCGGTGGTAGGTTTGGATCTGGCTCTGGGGATGGCTCACGCAGAAAGTCGGTAACCCGGCTCTTGCGCGGTGCGGTGTAGTTGTAGGTCTGTTCGAAGCCGAGCAGTTTCGAAGCCTCCCTCTCCTCGGTAGGATGGCGCAGCAGGGCTCTGATGGCCTCTTGGTTGGCCTGGTGGTAGTCTACTGCTAGGTGCTTATCTGCAAAAAAAAAAAGACAAGTGTTAGATCGGCGCGGAAAGTAATTAATGCATAATGAAAATAGCGCGGTCAGCCGAGCAACTAATATACCATCCTTTCTAATATACCATCCCGGTATGGGTGCCTCGGTGTCCTCATAGCGACCAGACACCCACAAGAAGTCGTCGTTGGTCTCCTTGTCCGGGTTACCCTCTATTAATTTTGCTCGGCCCTTCTTCACTTTGAGGTACCAGCATAACCCGCTCTTATTTCTACTAAGACTATACTGATGGAAAATTTCAGCCAGACCGAGATTGAGACCGAGCCTCCGGTTCAGTTCGGCGACCCCGTTTATTATTTTGTAAGTGTTATTTGAAACTTGGGTCGGGCAAAGCCTTGTCTGCCTCAAAAACTCGCAGATCAAAGGCTGGACCGGGAAGCGGAGCCCTCCCTCTACTATTGATACGACGGTAAAGGGGCACCGGTCTAGGTCCCCCCAAGGGGTGTCTCCCTTTTAGGCGAGCTCTAAGACGACGTCATCGGGGATGTTGTACTCCCTTCGAAACTCCGCCATCGCGCCGGGCGAGCTAACCATAAATCGGTACTTCCCCATTTATCTCGGTTTTATTTGGTTTATTGACTATCTCGGTAAAAAAGGATGGTGTATTTGCTCAGACCTTGAGCTCCACCAATGATGGTTCTGGACTGGCCTGGACGGTCCTAGTGTGTTCTGCATTATTAAAAATAATTTCGAAGGGTTAGCACGGCAAAACTTGCGTGGCTCTTATTGCAACTAGCTCAATGAAAGGGTCACTAGTGTTTGGCCGGTTCGACCCCTACCTCGGCTAGACCACTTTGTCGATTCCCTAGCTCGGTTCATTCCTATTTGTAGATCTAATGGAGTATTCAGCTCGGCTAGGGTTTTCAGCTCGGTGCGTTCCTATTTACCAATCTAATTAAAGTATTCAGTTCGGTTGCGACCTCGGTAAGAAGCCACAAACCAATTTTTGCTCGGCTATAGCTCTACCTATGGATCTAAATGAGCGTTTAGCTCGGTTCTACCCAGATTTAAACTGTTCATCCCAGAAGTGGGGCGAACTCGTTTGAACCAAGGAGGAACAGGGGGCTCAGAGGCCCCTTCCATTCTCAAAGTTCCCATTTGCCCTATGGTGTGCAGGTTCTAAGCAAAGAAAGGGGGCTCTGGTGGCCACAAACAAAAAAAAAAAAACACGAAGCATAGTGGCATGGAATCGAAGAACATGTATAATGAATTTCGAGAAACAGAAACAGAAAATGCAAGGGAAGGTAGTGTAGCTTACCAGGGGGACAGATGCGAGGTTTAACGCGACCTCGAGAGCTTGATCGTGGCCTTCGAAAGGATCTGAAATGGAGGATGTAGCACTGAGACAGCAATGGCAGTAGGTCTGGGGGGTTCGAAGGTTTGAGTGGTTTAGGATTTGTGCGGAAGAGAAGGTGAAAAGTGAAGGGTTGTAAGCCCTTTGTTGGAATACAAAAGAGGGGGAAACGAACCCCAAACGGCTGCGCCGTTTGAATTCTGCGCATGCAGGACAGCTGGCTGCGCGACCCAATGGCGTGAAGCCATGTGGCACTGGAAACGCGGCTGTCAGTACGGCTGTACGACCTTTGATGAGACTGCGGAGAAAATGGCCGACCAAACAGGATAGCTCGGCGATAGATATGCCCCCAATCATGCTCGGCTTGGTGATGGCGCAACTCATCGGTTAGCTCGGTCACCATGGTAACCCCAGTCACGACTAGGTCGGATGGGGTTAAGGGGCAATTGAGAGGGGAGATTTGCCCGTTAGTACGGCCGAGTTACGATAACGCCGATCATGACGAACCGCACGCCGCCAAGCAGAAGACCGGCCAGACACGAACTAATGCCTGGCCGAGCTACAGGAGATATGTAAGACAAGATAAGAAGACTTGAATCAATTGGCAGAGAACGAAATAGAGAAGAATTACAAAGAAATAGCGAAATTAGAAACAAACGTGGCACTAATACCAAATTATAAGAGAGCGGCCGAACAGTAGAAATAAAGAACCAAATATTTATCTTACATATTGTTGGCTACATATTTTGTATAAAGCCAATCACAGTTCAACACGTGGCAGGTTGAGGGTAATACGGGAAAACAATTCAAATATTTGATCGTGATCGTACACGTGGCAGTTAGTATTGGTTTTTCATAGGATCTGCGTAGCACTGGATCAACAAAGAGATGCAAAGTGATGTGCCTCCAACGGTTACTCATATTTAAATTCAAAATTAGGAGGGAAGTCTAACTGTAGGTATTGGCATAGTGGAGCTAGCTATAAGGCAACATGATTAGTGATCATGGAGGAGCGGTTCGACGGTTAGAAGTGCAGTTCGATGGTTGTCATTGAGAAGTATAAATAGCAGAGAAGGCCCCAGAAAATCCCCCCGGACTTAGATCCAAAAAATCAGTTTTATTCTACTTTATTTCCTTTCCAGTTTTATATTTCTTGTTCTTTACATTTCTGTAATTCAAATTCCTGCACTGCATTTCGTTCATAGGAGTAGTTTTCAAATAGCTTGTTGCTATAAACCTCTACGAGGCTGATTTGGATCTTTGTAAGTCTTTCATTTTGTTTAATGAAATGCTACAATTATTCTTCATTTAATCATTATTTGCTTAATTCTCCTAAATAAAGCCACTAGTAAAAGTCCTATTCATTGAGGCTGAAAGAAGTAAAACACAATCCTCTGATAATTGGTTGGCAATTAATATTCTGT